CACCTGGGCACGCAGCTGGGCGAGCTCGGATCCACCTCCCATGTGGCGAACAGGTTCATGTGCACCGGCCCGGGGGGGGGGACCCGGGGGGTCCCCGGGGCCGGGAGGGGCCGCGGGGGGGCCCGGGGGGAGCCCCGGGGGGGCTCCGGGCCCGGGGGGGGCTCGGGGGGCTCCGCGCTCCGCCATCGCCGCCTCAGCCGGGCCCCGCCCCCCGCGCCCCATTGGCCGCCGGGCGGCCCCGCCGGGCCCCGGTTGGTCGGCGCCGAGCGAGGCCACGCCCACCCGCGGCGCCGATTGGCCGGCGCCCGCCCCGCTGCGGAACCGCGGCCACGCCCCCCTCCCCCGCCCGCGGAGGCCACGCCCACCCTCCTGATGGACACGCCTATTGCCCGGGTTGGCCGCGCCCACTGTCACGAGAGACCACGCCCACCGCTGCGGGCCACGCCCACCACTGCAGGGCCACGCCCGCTGACCTCATGGCCACGCCCACTGCTTCTGGATGGACACGCCCACTGCCCCGATGGCCACGCCCACTGCTGCTGGGCCACGCCCCCCCCATCTGCAGCCGAGGCGCTGATTGGGTGGTGGCGGGGGCGGGGTCAAGGATGGAGCTTGGGGACACTGAGGGGACAATGGCCCAGTGACACGGTGACCTTGGGGACACATCCCAGTGACATGGTGACCTGGGGGACATGGCCCAGTGACATGGTGATATCATTGGGGACACATCCCAGTGACACGGTGACATCATTGGGGATGTGTCCCAGTAACACGGTGACCTCGGGGACGTGGCCCAGTGACACGGTGACATCATTGGGGACATGGCCCAGTGACACGATGACATCATCGGTGCCATCCCCATGATGGTGACCCTGGGGACACATCCCAGTGACACGGGGACCTCAGGGACATGGCCCAGTGACACAGTGACCTGGGGACACATCCTGGTGACATGGTGACATCACTGGGGACGTGTCCCAGTGACATGGTGACCTGGGGACATCCTGGTGTCACATCCCAGTGACACAGTGACCTCGGGGACACATCCCAGTGACACGAGGACCTGGGGGACACATCCCAGTGACACAGTGACATCGGGAACATGGCCCAGTGATGGTGACCCTGGGGACACATCCCAGTGACACGGTGACCTGGGGGATGTGTCCCAGTGAGATGGTGACATCATTGGGGACATGGCCCACCGACACAGTGACCTGGGGACATGGCCCACTGACACGGTGACCTCGGGGACATCCTGGTGCCACATCCCAGTGACACGGTGACATCGGTGCCACCCCAGTGACACGGTGACCTCGGGGACACATTCCAGTGACACAGGGACCCCAGTGTCACCCCCAGTGACACAGAGGCCTTGGGGACACATCCTGGTGACATGGTGACCTTGGGGACACAGTGCCACTGACACAGGGACCTTGGGGACACATCCCAGTGACACAGTGACCCCAGTGTCACCCCCAGTGACACAGAGACCTTAGGGACACATCCTGGTGACACGGTGACATTGGGGACACAGTGCCACTGACACGGTGACCTTGGGGACACATCCCAGTGACATGGGGACCTCGGGGACATCCTGGTGCCATGTCCCAGTGACATGGTGACATTGGGGACATGGTCCAGTGACATGGTGACCTCAGGGACGTGTCCCAGTGACACGGTGACATCGGGGACATCCTGGTGCCACATCCCAGTGACACGGGGTCCTTGGGGACACATCCCAGTGACACAGTGACCCCAGTGTCACCCCCCAGGGGACACAGGGTGACCTCGGGGACACAGGGTGACCCCAGGGACACATGGTGACCCCAGTGTCACCCCAGGGGACATGGTGACCTCAGGGACACATGGTGACCCCAGTGTCACCCCCAGGGACACAGAGACCTTAGGGACACATCCCAGTGACACAGTGACCCCAGTGTCACCCCCAGGGGACACAGGGTGACCTCGGGGACAGGAGGCAGAGCCGGGCTGTGGTGGGGACACCTTTTATTTACAAAACAACGGGGACAGGGAGGGGACAAAGACGAGGGGGGGGGACACAGGGACAGTGACACCACACTGTCCCCAGCCCCCC